CTAGGGAAAAGAGAAGTGTAACATACTTAATACTTAGATGGGTGTGTATTTTGGTATTTCTATGCTTTCTGATTGCCTCCAGGAGATGGGCTTCCCTTTTCACTCTTCTTCCTAAGAAGTTTCAAGATGCAACTGTTGGTCATTGTGACATAACTCAGGATTTAATTTTCAGCGTATTTCCTTTTCAGTCTTCCTGCCCCACTCCACAATCCCCATTCAGGCCCTTTTCCTAGTGATAAACAGTTCAGGGCCGGCTGGGGCCATTTTGCACTGCCGTTTGGCTTTAAGTGGAAACTGTTATTTTACATTTCAAGGAGATCTGTGAGCATGTGTAGTAGAAACCTCTGGGAGTGGGGGTGGGGTGTCCACTAGCTCAGGCACCCCCTCTAGTCACCAGAATGGAGGTATGCAGACATTGAGAGCCCAATGAACAGATACAAAAAGAAAAAGAATGTCCACACCTTTATCTCTGCAATTCTGTCAGGCATCCGTAGCTGCTCTGATCTTTCCCCCACTTGGTCTCTCTCAAGATGGTGCTCCAGGAGCAGCTGAGTGTCATGAATTAGAAAGCAATGGATTTCTTGCTTCTGCTACAAATCCCCCTAGCTGTAAGCCTTCCAAGCTTCTAAATATTCCTTTCTATGTGGTTCAGGATTCAGGCACCATCCTCTGAGCCTGCTTAGTCTGATATTCTGTGTTGTTGCTGATGGAGCTCCTCACTGCACTTCTACCCAATCCACCATCTTATTTGTTCTCTAAATGATGATATATTCTTGAGTGTTTTGGTATACATCCCTCCCTACTCCCTCACCCCCTCAAAAAAACAACAACAAAGGGAATAAAGGCAAATACTGTTGAATAATGATGCACAGAGGGGATTATAATCATTACAATGAAACAATGAATGTAAAACTAATGTTCTCCCATGTAAACTATCTGGACCACACCTTGTCTGGACTTTTGTCATTAGTGTACAATGTGCAAAACCTATTCTTGAGATGATCTCAAATTTCAGATGGAATATAGTCAAGATCATATTTTGGCTCTTATGGACTTGTTTTCATTTCTTCAGCTTCATCTTGAACTTGCTATTGAGCAATTGATGGTCTGCCACACAGTCAGCCCTGGCCTTGTTCTGATTGATGAAATTGAGCTCCATCATTTTTTCCACAGATGTAGTAAGTTTGATTTCTATATATTGCATCTGGTATGGTACACATTGCTGTGATGTTGAAAGAAGGTATTTACAATTAAATATAAAAAGTTCATGGAAAAATTCCATTATCTTTTAATTCCATTTTTCCATGAACTTTTGAAGCTCTCTAATATATATTAAGAATATCTCTGAGGTTTTCATTTCTATCTATTTGGGGCTGAGGAATCAGTATTTTTAAGGAAATGTAGAGTATTAGAATCATATTCAACCGGTGCTACCTTTATAAAATGAAATGGTTATATTATGTATTTTTTGCTTCCTTATAATGTTTTTACAAAAGGCAGGCACATGTTGATTTTGAGCTAGCAAAAAGACAACATCAGGAAAACACAAATAATCAAAGCTTTACAAAGTTTATTTCTCATAATAAAATGTAGCACAGAATAATTCCATTAGACAAAAGCTTCTACTACAGGTTTTTTATTTCTATCTAGAAAATTTGAATGACTCTTCTGATCTAATAAATTGCTAAAACAAGATTTCAATGAAACGTAGTGAGGTATTTTTAGAATGAGTACAATTTTAGGGCACTAGAGATTGTGTAGAGGGAACATTTAATTGAAGTCCAAGAAATTAATACTCCATTTATAAAGAACCGTATGTATTCAACTTAAGATAGTGCATGAGAATATGTACACACACAACTTGCTATATTCTATATTTTCCAGTAAATTGTTTTCATTCTCATAAGACCATGAAATTATATGATACATTGTTTAATTCTGGTATCCAGGTGAGTGACTTGGAAATTAGTATCAGGAGAAAACAAGCAATTTTCTTTATAAATGAGCTCTTAATTTTGAAAATATAAATTACCAAGATACAGAACAGTAGTTTTCCATTTCATTTCATGCATTATCTGGATATTTCTTCAGCCTATCACTTCTCCCTTCTATCTTGGGTTCTTTGCCTAAAATTGCAGATAAAAAAGCTTACTTAACTAAAGAACCAATATCAAAGAGTCAAAGTAGTTCTTAATTCTTTTTTTTTCAATATAGGTTGATTTTCTTATTTATGCATGCAACGTTGGAAATGTTTCATAAATGTTCATTAAATAATGAATATTCAATTGATTTATAATTTTTATTTTATCTTGACTATATAATCAATTCCTAATCAATGTTTTTGCCCACCAATTTTTAAAAGATTTTTGTCATAACTTAATTTCAGTTATTTACCCTACTAAATTTTGAAATGGTATATAATTGAAAATCCTGTTTGAAGTTAGGAAAGATGAATTGAGGAAACATCTTGGACAATTCTGGTTCTATCTCTTGCCTTCTAATGTTAGAATGCTGAATGTTGGCTTGCATCAACACAGATCAAAGAAAATCTCATTATTTTAGAAAATTTCTTTTGTAAATTCCTTTCTCTAATTTCTCAGATTTAAACCCTTAGTTGCTTTACAATTTCTATTTCTTAGCACAAGGCAAATTAGATCTAAGAGCTCCAACATTTCCAGGTATGCCTAAATCCAGCTGTAAATTCAAACTCCTGAGACAATTCTAAATTTAAATCTTTAGCATTGTTTCTCAATAAGCACTTTAACATTTGTGTAACTTCTGTGAAAATTCTATTTCCACTGTTTTATGCTCTTTCAGCTTATGCATCCACCATCTTTCTGCATTTGAAAGAAAAACATTATGTAGAAGATGGTCTGATTATTTGAAGGCTCTGTCCCTCTAATTCCCTCTAATGTATCATTTTTATAACAAAGGAATCTTCAGAGAGTTTGACTGATTTGTTTCCAATTACAAAGCAAATTGAACCAGTTCAGTTACAGAGCAGTAGTAACCTGGTTGTCTGTTTCTGAAAGCACTGACATTTTGCACTAATTACCTATTCGGGATTATTTCCATCTATATTTTTTCTCTACTGGCTTTGATTCTGAGGGTGACCCCAAGTCAAGGAGCTGTATTTTGATAGCAGCAGCATGAACACCTAAACCCCAAGAGAAAACACATCTTTCTAGCCGGAGAACAAGGAAAAGGAGAGCTATGTAGTCTAAAGAAAGTGGGAGGGAATGGAATTCGGTGTTTTTGGTATGTGAAAGTGTTTTTTATCTTTTAGTTATTTAGCATCAAAAGAATTGTAACCATATTTTAAGAAGAACTTGGACTTTTGAATGTGCCCTTTTAGTTAGTGAGATTTACCAGGTCATCAAATAAGGCTGTTTCTCTCATAATCTGTAGGACATATTGGGTTGGCTAGCTGTGAAATCCAAACAAATTGGAAATATTTTATTAAATCTCCTGTTGATTAGATTTGACAAAAATTACCATGTGTACCAGAGATTGTGTCAAATGATCAAAAGAAACTACCACATCTAACTTGTCCAGTGCTGCAAAAGACTAGGCTGCAGAAACAGCCAATTTTAAGATTTGTAAGCCCTGACAGATGTATAAGGTTCTGTGCTTAATATTTTGCTATCACCACTTTTGGTCATTTGCTCATTCAAGCAAATCTATGTTGGAAGAAGTACGGTTAAGATGCTCTGTAGAAGCATGGATGGCAAAGTCTTCCCTCATATACTTTGGACATGTTATGAGGAGGGACCATTCCCTGAAGAACATCGTACTTGGTAAAGTCAAGAGTGAGCAAAAAGGAGGAAGATCCTCACTGAGATGGATTGACACAGTGACAGCAACAGTGGGCTCAAACATAGCAATGATTGTGAGGATGGTGCAGGGTCAGGGAGTTTTTCATTCTATTATACATTGGGTCACTATGAGTTGAACAGCACACAACAACAACAATATCACCATTTTGAAATGCTTAGCAATTCTGAACAAAAAGCCCACAAATTCTGTAGTTGTACCTAACTAATATCTTCATTTGTAGTTCCTCACCACCGATTCAATCATTTTCTTGCTCTCTGACTTCTCCCTTTATATTGGAGTAAAGCTTCTCTCTCTTAAGTTATTTGCTGTATATTAGCTAATTCTCATGAGCTCTCCTTAACCTTCTTCTAGTTTAACCTTTCTGGAGCATTTGTATTGATGACAGACAATTCTTTTAAATTCCCTGTTTGGTATCCATAATTAACATAATGCTATCTCTGAACTTGTTTGTTAAAGGCAAGTGGGATGATAAAAGAAAATTTCTAGTCACAATATGCCATAGGGCTACAATGGGCCTATACTCTATAATTCAGGATATAGAAGTGCTCATTTCTTTTCACAGAATCAGTGACAAAATGATTTCTAAATGGATAAAAGTCTAAACTTCAGTTCCCACCTGGCTGGTATTACAAATATTATGCAGAGGTTTTTGGTTTTTTTTATTGTCTTGTTTTACTGAATACAGCAATGACATGAACATACCAATGTTTTCATCAGTTGAGTATATAAATGGTCTTAAATTTCCTCGTGTCTCCTTCACAAAATAATCAATGACACTGAAAAGGTTTGGGAGTGTCACCTATACAAAAAAAGAAAGAAGATTCAGAGTTACCTATATAATGAGAAAGTGAGAGGAAGCACAACTGAAATTTAATGAAAATTACTTTATTTCCTGACCTCGAGATAAGTGTGTCAACATCTCACTTAAATGGCTTACTGAATGATTATGAGTTTTAAATTGTGTCCCCTCCAAAAGAATATATTGAAGACTTAAACCTCATGCCCATGAATGTGATCAGATTTAGAAATAAAGATTTCCTTTTGTTATATTAATGAGGTCATACCAGAGTAGAGTGGATCCTAAATTTAATTCCTTCTGAGTGGTATCTTATGAAGGGGAGTCCTGATGTGGCACTGTATGATATAACTCTATACTGCTATCTTCAAGACTGGCAATTCAAATCCACCAGTTGCTCCTCAAAAACTCTAGGCAGGATCATTATGAGTTAGAACCAACTGGGTGGCACTCAACAACAACAGATAATTTAAATATTATGGTTTTACCTACTTGTGATGGTTAACTTTATATATTAATTTTACAAAAAGTACAGGTGGTGCAATGGTTAAGTGCTCAAATGCTAATGGAAAAGTCAGCAATTTTAACCCACCAAACACTTCTTGGGAGAAAGGACCTTGCAATCTGCTACCCAGCCTAAGAAACCCTACAAGTCAATTCTATTCTGTTACATGGAGCCACTATAAGTCAGAATGAACTAATAACACCACATGTTTTGTAACTAGGGTTCCAATTCATACATGCATGAGTTTATACCAAACAAAATGTATTTAAACAAGTCTGCGATCAGTAGTGCTTCAGACAGTATTCTCTGTAATAATACCCTTGTCTTAGTCCTGGTGTAGTAGTGTAGGATGAGCACTGGACTGCCCACTGATTTCACCCTCATATTTGATTGACAGCTTTGCTGGGTGTATGATTCTTGATTGGCAGTTTTTTTCTTTCAGAGTTATATATATATATATATATATATATATATATATATCCCCATTGCCTTCTTGTCTTCATGGTTTCTGTTGAGAGATCACAGCTTAATCGGATTGGTTTTCCTTTGTAGGTGTCACTTCTTTTTTCCCTAGCTGCTTTCAAGATTCTTTCTTTGTCTTTGCTTTTAGAGAGCTTGATATGAGATGTCTTGGTGATTTTCTTTTGGGGTCTATACTGCCTGGGATTAGTTCAGCTTCTTGGATGCTTATCTTCTTATCCTTATGATGTTAGGAAAATTTTCTTCCAGCAAGTATTTGACTATCTTTTCTGTAGTTTCCTTTGTTTCTTCCTGCTCTAGAATTCCAATCAGTCTCAGGTAGTTCCTCTTCATGTTATCCCACATGAATCTTACACTTTCTGGAGCTATGGTGGGTAGATGACCCCCTGAAAATATTGCCTTGAAATCATCTTTAATCTTTAAGCAAAAAATATTCTCTGAATTTATTTTAAAACTGAGCAAAGGTTTAGTTGTTTAAAAAACTAGCGGGAAAAAAGAAGGACTGCTAGAACATTTAGTTCTTTTAAGAACTGTCTGTCTGAGATCAAATTGACTACAGCAACTCAAAAGATAGAACTCTTTGAGAGCAGTGAGTTTATGTTAATGGAGAAGGAACAGCTCAGGGAAGGTATGTGAAAGTGATTGCACAACTCAAAGACTGTAATTAGTCTCACTAAACTGTATATCTAGAAACTGTTGATTGATGTATGTTTTACTATGATATTCTCAATACTAACAAAATTAATGAGATCTAGGAAAACCTAAGTTTTTTCTTCATTAAGCAATTATATTGATAAGTATTTGAAGAGAAATAATAATTGGAAGCAGATCATCTTTTATTTTGCTTCATCTTCCTTTTCTTATATCTCACTTCACAGTCTGGATATCTACTCCCTTTTATACCACCAGCACTGGGCTCCTATGTAACAGATCTGTTTCTGCACCTATTTTCTTTTTAATTCTGTAAGGTAGATTTGGCAGGAGCCAGTAGAAAGCTAATCAACGACAATGAATTATCTACTTACAGGTTTTTCCAGTTCAATAGTGTAGTTTTTCCCTATGCCCATCACTTTGTAGTGCTTGATTCTTGGCATGCTAAAAATGAAACAAATAGTTAATCTCAATTTAATTGTCTATGAGATCAATGCCAAAATGAGTACAAAATATCACCTATAGAACAAAACTATGTCCCCATGACCACTTTGGCATAAAAGTTGTTTTTTTTTCTGGTTTTGTTTTGTTTTAAACTTGCTTTGCAATTCCTATGTTGTTGTTGTTGTAAAGTGCCTTTGAGTCAGTTCTAACCTATAGCGACCCTGTATAGGGTTTCCAAGGAGCAGCTGGTGAGCTTGAACTGCTGAACTTGTAGTTCAAATGACTTTTCAGTCTGGTGTATTACCCCACACCAGGACTCCTATTCCTATGTGTGTTGTTGTTGTTAAGTGCCGTCAAGTCAGTTCCAACCCATAGTGACCCTATATAGGGTCTCTGAGGAGTAGCTGGTGAACTTGAACTGCCAACCTTGCAGTTCAAATGGTATTCCTATGTAGCCATGTACAAATCAAATATATGTTCTTTATATTAAAAGAGAGTGAAAATGTAAGTTTGAGGACTAAGGTGCACCTGACCTAAGCCATGGTGCTCCTTCAATCACTTAATATGAATGTGAAAGTTGGACAATGAATAAGGAAGATTATAGTAGAATTGATGCATCTGAATGATCATGTTAGAAAAGAATATTGAAAATATCATGCACTACCAGAAAAACAAACAGATATATGTCAGAAGAAGTATAGTCAGAATGCTCCTTAGAAGCCATTATAGCAAGACTTCGTCTCTCATACTTCAGAAAAGTTATTAGGAGGAGTCAGTTCCTGGAGAAGGATATCAGGCTTAATAAAGTGGAGAGTCCACAAAAAAGAAGATCCCCAAGGAGATGGACTGACACAGTAATGAAACAACAATTTTGAGGATGGTTCAGGACCAGGCAGTATTTCACTCTACAAGTCTACTTGAAGGCAGCTGATTGCAACCTATTAAAAGAGACTGAGAATAATTAATTAGTATAAGAAAATGACTTTCTACTTTACTTATCACTAGTGCAGTTAAAAATCCCTCAACGGCTATTCTTCATACTATATATTACCATGGATATCTGCTACCTTTCAGGGCCGATTTTAGAGATATGAAAAATCCTAAGAGTTAGGCACTAAATAAATGTGTTGTTATTGTTGGTAAGTGCTGTCGAGTCAGTTCCGACTCATAGCGACCCTGTATAGAGTTTTCAAGGAGCAGATGGTGAGTTTGAACCATTGACCTTGTGGTTCAAACCGACCTTTCAGTCCAGTGCTTTATCCCACAGCACCATACCAGGTGTAAGTGTAAATATAAGTACAGTAGAGATGAACCAAAGAGGATTGATGCATTTGATTTATGTTGTTGACAAAGAACATTGAATATACTATAGACTGCCAGAAGAAGGAACAAATCTGTCTTGGAAGAAGTATTGCCAGAATAATCCTTAGATGGAAGGATAGCAAGAGTTCATTTTATGAACAATAATACATTTATATATCAGGAGGAACAAGTCCCTCCAGGACATCATGCTTGGTAAAGTCGAGGGTCAGTAAAACAGAGGAAGACCCTCAGTGAAGTGGACTGATGTAATGCCTGCAACAATGGACTAAAACACAGCAATGATTGTCAGGATGGTAGAGGATTGGGCAGTGTTTCATTCTCTCACATAGTGTAATCATGAAGATGGCACAGGATGGGGCATTTTATTTTTATTTTTTCTGTTAGGTTGCCATGATTTGGAGCTGACTTAATGTCAGCTAAACCAGCATTAGTCAAAACATGTGGCATTTTATTATGAACTGTTTGAGAACAAGAAACACATTCTATTTATCTTTGTTTTTCAGAATTAGGCAAAGAGTAAATATTTATAAAATTGAATTTTAAAAACATTAAGAACCCATTTTGTAGTGCTATCTGATAGAAACAAACTGAATTCATGCCAGTTCACTTTGAACAATATGTTTGCCTTGAAATCCCTTAATCCAGATAGCAAGAGTATTAAGACCAAAACTTTTTCTTACTTTGAAAAATTAACATTTGTCATGCTGTCATTTGCCTGAAAGACAAACTAATTCTACAGCTACCTAAAACAAAATTGTCTATCAGGTTAAACTTGTCTAACAGGGCCTTTCCACCTTTTAGGTGCCTTTGAATTGGTTCCAACTCATAGCAACTCTGTGTACAACAGACTGAAGCACTGCCCAGTCCTCCACCATCCTCACAGTCATTTATGTTTTAGTTCATTGTTGTAGGCATTATGTCAATACATTTTATTGAGGGTATTCCCCTTTTTTCCACATTTCTCTAGGGCTGCACTACATAAAATCATTTATTTAGAGGATTCGCTCATTATCCAATAAAATCTCCAAATCTATTCACACTTTGACATCACAGTGCAAAATAGCTAGTAAAATGATCTCAATGATTTATTCTATAGTTTCACTCTATGAACATAGGATAATATTTAACCCTTCACCTAGAGAAGCTGGGTTTTAGGAAGAAAAATGTAGCATCAATATTGGAAGAAGACTCATTAACAACCTGCGATGTGCAGAGGATACAACCTTGCTTGCTGAAATTGAAGAGGACTTAAAATACTTACTGATGAAGATCAAAGATCACAGCCTTCGGTATGGGTTGCATCTCAACGTAAAGAAAACAAAAATCCACACCACTGGACCAATAAACAAGATTCTTATCAACAGAGAAAAGATTGAAGTTGTCAAGGACTTCATTCTTCTTGGATCAACTATCAACACTCATGGAAGTAGCAGCCAAGAAATCAAATGACGTATTGCATTAGGCAAATCTGCTGCACAAGAACTTTTTAAAGAGTTGAAGAGCAAAGATGTCAGCTTCAAGACTAAGGTGTGGCTGACCTAAGCCATGGTATTTCCAATAACCTCATATGCATGTGAAAGCTAGACAGTGAATAAGCAAGACCATAGAAGAATTGATGTGTTTTATAGTGTTGGAAGTTGTTGTTGTTACGTGCTGTGGAGTCAGTTCTGACTCATAGCAATCCTGTACAGGGTTTCCGAGGCTGTAAACCTTTACAGGAGCAGAAAGCCTCATCTTTCTCCCATGGAACAGCTGGTAGTTTTGAACTGCTGACCATGCGGTTCGCAGAAGAGAATATTGAAAATACCATGGGCTGCCAAAAGAACAAACAGATCTGTGTTGGAAGAAGTGCAGCCAGAGTGCTCCTTGGAGGCCAAGATGGCCAAACTTCATCACTCATACTTTGGACATATTGTCAGGAGGGACCAGTCATTGGAGAAGAATATCATGTTTGGTAGGGTGGAGGCTCAGCGAAAAATAGGAAGACCCCAGCGAGATGGACTGACAAAGTGGCAGCATCAATGGGCTGAAGCGTGGCAACAATTGGGAGGCTGGCCCAGGACTGGGCAGTGTTTCATTCTGTTGTGCACAGGGTCACTATGAGTTGGCACTGACTTTATGGCACCTAACAACAACAACAACTCCCTTTTTTAAAAAAAGTATTTCTTAATTAGAAACCATGAGGAATCACTTACAAACTAGTAGAGGAAACATTTTTGAACAGAGGAAGTCTTGCAAGTATCCAATTTCAGGGTGGTTCACTTAATCTTTATGCTCTACCGTAACCAGTGGCTCTTTGATAGAAAGATAAGCTCTCTGTTCCAGTAAACGTTTACACACCAATGACTAAAGCCAATGATGATGAAATGGAAGAATTCTACCAACTCTTTAAGTCTGATATTGATCAAGCATGCAAACAAAATTTATAGATAATCACTGGTGATTAGAATGCAAAGGTTGAAAACAAAGAGGAAGGATCAGTAGTTGGAAAATCTGGTCTTGGTGATAAAAAAAGATGCTAGAGACTGCATGATAGCATTTTATAAGACCAATGATTTATTCATTGAAAATACTTTTTTTAAAAAACAACATAAAAGATGACTATACACCTGGACCTTACCAGATGGAATATACAGAAATCAAATTGATAACATCTGTGATAAGAGATGGTGGAAAAGTCCCATATCATCAGTGAAAACAAGGCCAGGAGCAGACTGGAAAAGAACATTAATTGCTCATATGCACATTCAGGCTGAAGCTAAAAAAATTAAAACAAGTCCATGAGAACAAAAATTTGACCTTAAAGACATCCCACATGAATTTAGAGATCATTTCAAGAACAGATTCGATGCATTAGTCACTAATAACTGAAGACTAGAAAAGTTGTGGGATAACATACATGAAGAAAGCAAAAGATCATTAAGAAGATGAAAAAGAGTGAATGTCAGTAGAAAGTCTGAAACTTGCTCTCCAGCATAGAGATCCTAAAGCAAATGGAAGAAATGAGGAGGTACAAGAGCTAAGCATAAAATTTCAAAGGGCAGCTCAAGAAGACAAAGTCAAGTATTATAATAAAATGTGCAAAGACCTGCAGTTAGAAACCAAAAGGGAAGACCACACTCAGCATTTCTCAAACTGAGAGAACTGAAGACAAAATTAAAGCCTTGACTTGCAATATTGAAGGATTCTATGAGCAAAATACTGAAGCAGAAAACATTAAAAGAAGATGGAAGGAATATACAGAGTCACAGTTACAAAAATAAATAGACAATGTTCAACTATTTCAAGAGGTATAATATGATCATGAGTCAATGTTACTGAAGGAAGAACCTCAAGGTTCACTGAAAGCATTGGCAAAAAACAAAGCCCTAGGAGTGGGTGGAATACAAATAGAAATCTTTCAATCAACTGTTGCAACACTATAGGCACTCCTTCATATATGCTAAGAAATTTGGATAAGAGATACATATTTATGCCCAATCCAAAGAGGGATGGAAATCATCAGACAATACCATTAATACTACATGCAAGTAAGATTTTGCTAATGATCATTTAAAACATCTGCAGCACTACATTGACAGGAATTGCTAGAAGTTCAAGCTGGATTCAGATGGGGCCATGGAATGAGGGATATCATTGCTGACATCAGATGGATCTTGACTGAAAAAAAACCCAAG